GAGTTCAAGCCCCACTCCCACAGACAGCCACTTTGGGTCCCTGAACAAGACCCTTAACTCTACACTGCTCCCCCAAAGCCGCACAATGGCAGCCTACTGCTTCCCAAAGGGAATGGGTTAAATATAGAGAGTTCATATAGTTTCTCTGTACTTGTGGCAGTGTAATGACAATAAAAGCTGAAAAAAATAATAAATTTTTCAGATCTCAAAAAAGGAAAAACTGCAATATTTGGGGATGCCTGGTTTAGGACATTGTGCCTCGGTTCCAGAGGTTCTGAGTTCAAGCCCCACTCCCACAGACAGCCACTTTGGGTCCCTGAACAAGACCCTTAACTCCACACTGCTCCCCCAAACCCGCACAATGGCAGCCTACTGCTTCCAAAAGGGGATGGGTTAAATATAGAGAGTTAGTTTCATTTCTCTGTACTTGTGACAGTGTAATGACAATAAAAGCTGAAAAAATAATACATTTTTCAGATTTCAAAAAAAAGAAAAACTGCAATATTTGTTACTCTAAATCTAATTGATTTGAGGATGCTTATTGGAAAACTGAAGCACACCTCTTGCTGTTTTGCTTACTACTGATTATGTTCCACTTTTTTTAATTAGAACTTAAAAAACCCCAAAAAAGTTTTTAAAAAATACGCAGGTTGAGTGATACACTAGAGTTTATGTTCTAAACATTTGCAAAGATATCACAAACATGATGCTAGGATTATGACTTAAAGATCAAATACGTTGTTTTTTAAAACTTTTCTTATATTTGCATTTAAAAGTAGGCCTTTTTCAATTAAAACACTGCATTAAATGTTTACTAAAATGTCAGATTAGAACATATATCTCATCCTTTTTATCATGTAATGAAAGCAGTATTTTGTAGTGGGGTTATAAAGGATCTCAATTTACAAACGTATCTATCAGTAAAAGGGTAAATATATAGGAGAAAAATGAATAGTATATAAAGTTAGCAGCAGAGAGGACGATTGAGCCACTGGCAAGTTTCTAATTTATCTAATTTATTTAAAAAAATGAAAACATAATTATGGATTTCATCTCCTGCTCCAGGAAGCCCTTCAGGTCATGCTATGGGTGTAGCTGGTGTCTGGTATGTGATGGTTACTGCGTTGCTTTCAATTGCAAGAGAAAAAAAATGCCCCTTTTTGCTATACAGGTGAGTTTTTTTTTACCATGCAATGATCAATTTCTTTAAAAAAGGATACGACTCTAGAATCTTGTGGCACTTATATTCTGTGTGAATATTTTCAGGTTGTTGCAGATAGGTTTGTGGGCCTTGATGGCTCTGGTGGTGCTGATTGTCTGCATGTCCAGGGTTTTCATGGCGGCCCATTTCCCACATCAGGTTATAACAGGGTTCATCACAGGTGGGCTGGTTTCCTGTATCTCTATCGTAAAAAACGAAAAGTTTTATGGTAGCTTAATAAAATACCCATATTTTCTGTTACTTTTTAGGGATTGTTGTCGCTGGAATAGTTTCCAAGAAGAAGTGGATTTACAACGCCAGCATGAGCAAATACCTCATCATCACCATCTTCATGACTGTTTTCGCTATTGGCTTCTACCTGCTGCTTAAAATTGTTGGAGTGGACTTGCTTTGGACCATAGAAAAAGCCCAGAAATGGTGCATCCGGCCGGAGTGGATCCACATGGACACCACACCCTTCGCCAGCCTCCTACGTAACATGGGTAGTCTGCTCGGGCTCGGACTCGGACTGCAATCTCCGTTCTACGGTGACTTCAAGAAGAACTCAAATGCTGCCTTCAAAATGGGGTGCATTATGATTTCTTTGTTCTTGCTTCAACTCTTGGATGGATGGACATTTTCCTCGGACAACCATGTGTCTTTTTATGTACTATCTTTTGGTAAGAGTGCTTTTGCACTTTTAATCCCAACTATTTTGGTTCCTTGGGCTCTCTGCAGGATCTGCAAAGGAACTGAGGTTGATAAGAACTTGTAATTTAGATCTGACATGGTGCTTCAATTTAGCTACTTTTTTTTTTTTAGCTATTCCTTATTTTCTTAAATTGTTTCCTAATCTTTATTAAAGAAAACTGAGACAAAAGAAGCCAGTAATTTACTTAATACAGTGCAATGCAGTGTATTTTCCACTAAAAAGATGCGCATTGTAATGCATCATTTGCACCTAAAACAACAAAACAAGAATAGCACTTCCAGAATGAAATTTTCTGGTCATTTTTTCAGTGGACTCTGCATATAACTATAACAGTTTATTTAGGTTTTTTTAATTAGCGTTAATTGTCTGAGTTGTCACTACTTCCCAAAAATAATTTCCACATGTCTGGGACTGGGAGAAACTAACAAATTTAATTTTTAACTCTTCCAAATATTTCCCAGATGCATCAATTCGGTTTTTCTCCAATATTGTTCACAGATCTGTTTAAATCTGCGTTTCTGAGCATTATTACTTGGCTAAAATAAGAGCAGGCATATCAAGAAGCAGATTAGACAACTTATTTAGTGCACAGTTGTGACTGTGGCCTTCCACCTTAAAAGGCCCCTCTAACGTGTGGTTTTACTGTATTGAAAGAGTTCTGAATCACAGCCAGTATCTGTTTTTGACCACAACACATCTCTTTTAGTGAGATTATAGGTGTTCATGATGCTGGTTGGATAATCTGCCAAATGTTCTGAAATGCCTTTGAAGACAGTTTGTGGTACAAAAGTCAACGCATAATTCTCAGCTCATATAGATATTCAGGCAGCCATCTTGTAAATTACAAACTCTCTCAAAACCCACAATACCCACAAATCTTTGGTGGTGCTGTGTGATAAAACTCCACATTTTAGAGTGGCCTTGTGAAGCACACCTTGGCAATAATGCTGTCTAATCAGCATCTTGATATGCCACACCTGTGGGATGCTTGGATTATCTAGGCAAGGGGGAAATATTAACTAAAACAAAGGTTAAGACGATTTGTTAACAGTATTTGAAAGAGAGTCTTTCTGTATAAAAAGAAAAATTCTTAGAGTCCGTCACAATACTGCAAATCTTTAAGGACTCTTAGGCCAAAGGGGAACTGCATCATTGGTTGACAGTAGCAGTGGCGTCCGAATAGTAAGGAAGGTGGTAGGAAGAGGAAGCAGGATACTTCTCCGAAGTCCCTCTCAGCGGGTTTATAGTTACCAACAATCCTTTGCATGACAGGGCATACATCACAGCGCTGAACAAACCTACATGATACCTCAATCCCAAACCAGCACCTCAACATTAACCCTAAGTACTGTCCCTTCGTCTGTGCGTTCCCATGGAGGAGCTGCCATTTTAAGAGTGGTCCCAAAGCCTGTAGTGGGTAGGGTGGGTGGACTGTCCATCCTTTAAATAGTGGGTCTGCATCCAGAAAGTCCAGCCAACTGTCTGGAATTTGGCGCGAGTGTATGGTGAACTAATGGAGGAGGAGACATGGAAATTCAAATGTAAATTCAGCTGTTTTTCTGCATGCTGTTACATTGACAGAAAATCTCAGGTTAGAAAAAAAAAAATCAAAGACATAATTGATTCCAAAAGGGAAGGTCATCTATGAATTATTTTATTTGACTGTAGAAATAATTTTTTAAGAAAGGGGCAACTGTTTGTTTTCACGTGAACTTATACCACAGAGCTACAGCCATTTCCACTGGAGGGAGGAGGGATTCCCATTCTCATTTACAATAGTCACAATATGACAAGCACCCTCTACTTGCGTGTCTGTTGCATAACGGCGTCCATAAGGCTGACGGCTGTCTGGATTCAGCACAGCAGTCCAGAGCTCCTTACCTACCCTGGATAGAGTCCTTACTGCTTACCCCATGAAAGGTGAAGGAATAGAAGCTAAGAACAGGAGCCAGGAGCTACAATTTGCACAAAATTCAAATAAATGTGAGCAAAAAACAAAAGCATTAGGTTTATATTTTTACAAGTTGATGTGGTATTTAACATACTGTAAATCTTAGCATTTCTTTGTGGGAGCTGTAGACCTTTGCTAAGGAACTCTTTTAACACATTGAATTTATGCAACATATGCAAAGGAGATGTATTGGGGACTTAAGGCAGCAAGTTGATTAAGTTAACTCCTTAAAAAGGATAGAAAGAGGTCAATTTAGGTTAAATCATCATTGTACTGAGGCAGCATGAGCATTGCAAACATCGAACCTTCAGCATCAACTTGTTTTCTGTTTTTTCTTTAGTAAAACATTCTGCAACAGTTGAATCATCTTATGTCCTTCTGTATCTTACATAAAAAAGCACATTATAATTTAAGATGTTTTAATATGTGAGTGAGTTTTAATGCTAATAGCAATGAATGTTCACATATATTTGTAATGTTTACTGAGTTTAATTCCTTAGTCATCAATACTGACTTTAAGAGGATAAAGAAGTGGATTAGATTGAAAGAGTTGTTTTATATTAACATAGAGTTCTATAGCCTATAATTCTATAATAGGTATAAATCTTGTAGATCTGATAGCGGAGATGTAGGAGTGGTTGTTAAGTCTTGTTATATCATTCCATTTGCTATTGTTTGATGCCATTAGGGATGATAATTTGTTTAAAAAAAATAGTGTCTCCATGGTTTTACATGCTAATTCTGTATGAACAAGCAATGATTCCATCTTGTCTCAAGTTATATTCCATAGCTTTGGTTTTTGAAGCTCCTACATCTCCTTCCTAGCTGAAATCAGTCCTCAACGTTAATAAAATGTCCCAAAGTGGTCTTCAGAGTCTGTCTTTGTTTAACAGGTTGTCACTTCTTTTTTTTACATATTTAAAAAGAGCAAGATGAATAAGATTCATCCACATTATATTAACTGAAAGTCTAAAAGAACATAAGAAAACAATTACTGTTTGACCCTTAACTTTAAATAAAATCTAGACACGGAAAGTTGATTTTCTTTACTAAGGAAACGTTTTTAAATAGTTATTGGTCAGAATTACATCATATTTTACTCAAATTTAACAAAAAATAAAGCTATAACAGACAAAACACAGTGTCTGACTTTTAACCAAATGATTATCTTATTCCTGTTTACTCAAAGAGTATAAAATGTCTTTTTTTTCGCAGAATGTTTTAACGTAGCACTGAGTAATTCCCTGGTAGGAACAACTATTAAACATTAACCAGAGCATGCTCGATTCACCCTGCAATCGCACATAGGGACTCTGTCTTTCTCCACAGCCACGCACTCTTGAGACAGATGCTGGGTCAAGGGGCAGAAAGCGAGGCAGACACTGCGTGTATCACTTAATACTTGACACTGAGTAACCTGCGTGGCTCAAAGGATAGAATGAGAGCTTTGGACATACAGTACAAACATCAGCAGGATTGCACGGGTCAATATTTCACGGTAGAACAGACACACCTTTGCTCTGCAATGTTCCTGCTTAGTATGTTATTTAATCTGCTGATAAATTATAGGTCACCTAAAAGAGAACCTAACCTTGATTTGACATTAAGAATAAATTCATTCTTATACAGGATTTAGAATTTATACGTTTTATTTTCACTTGTTAGATTTTAGTGTAAAAAAAAATGCTAATTATTTCCCTACACATCCAAACGATGCACTGATCACAATCAACCTTAGTAGTGAGGTACATTTCTATGAAAAATATTTGCAGTTTAACAGTTTGAATAAAGGGAACACATTAGTGCAAAGTGCATCCAAGATATGATCAAAACTAATAACTTATGTTAGATTTGGCCTACATTTAATTCCTTAATATTGACACAAATCCTTTAACTTTATAAACTATTACTGCCCTGTTCTTCTAACTCAGCGGTCTGCAACCTTTACAATCCAAAGAAACATTTAGAGTCAAAAGCATTACATGACTTTTTTTTTTTATAAAAAAGATCACTTGCATTTGATGAATATGTACCTCAGTCGTTTTTTAAATAATCATTGTACCTTTTCACATTTTAGGTCTCAAAAGAAAACAAAAACCTGCAAAAAGACTAAAAGTACATTTTAAATGGTTTGCTGAGACTTGTGAAAAATAATGTCAAAAAAAACCCCCAGAATCGTTCCTACTTTAAAAGTGCAAAAAATGCAATCAAATTAAATGATTTGAAAGAATTAGATTAATCTTTATTATTTTTAGCAAAAGTGATGAAGAGCCACTTATGGATCCGGCGCCACAGGTTGAGGGCCCCTGTTCTAAATGTTCCTGAATTACTTAAATGCAAATATCTCTCCTGTGCACGTTTTAAGGTTTAGTTTGGGTGGAATCTTTCAGAAATCCCTTTATGGCATGTAATGACATGAATCTTGAATATTGATTAGAGTTGTTTTTTCTTAATGGTGTATTAAACTACCCTTCTTTCAGAGTGGTATGACAATGAAGCAAAGTAACTTTAAAAAAATGTTCAACATAAGCAATGGATAAGTTTTAGTTCTATGTAATTCTTCTCTATTTTCCGTTCTGATGCAAATTGCAGGCTCAGACAATATGCATAAATCGTTATTGATACTTGGCAAACTGTCTCTCAGCAAGTTTCGGACAAACAAACATGCACTCCTGAGCTATCGTTATAGTTATGCTGCTATAGGCTTAGACTTCTGGAAGACATAGGGACCCCATCTTCATCATTCTGCTTCTTTCTGTCTCTATTCTCCCACTCTGCAAAATCTGTTAGTTCAGTCTGTAACGTTATGCTCTCCCTACTTTTTCTCATAGTAGCTTCACCTCGTCTGGCTGTGTGTTTCCAGGCCTTTTACAGTTGCCTTTTGTATCTCTGCTTCTTTCTATATGTCTGCTTCTGTCTCCTTGAACCCAAGTCGGCCTTGGCAGATGGCTGCTCACACTGAGCCTGGTTCTGCTGGAGGTTTCTTCCTGTTAAAAGGGAGTTTTTCCTCTCCACTGTCGCTAGAAGCATTCTTAGTGTAAGGGATTGCCTTCGAGTCAATGAGTCGATGCAATCAACTGGTTTTCCTTAGATAGAAAACTTTAAATCAATTTGACTGGATGATCTGTTGAACTGGAAAGTGCCTTGAGATGATGTGATGTAAATTGGCGCTATAGAAATAAACTGAATTTAATGGAAATGAATGACAAAAACCTT